CTCTAGCATTTTAAATTGTCAATAACATATATTTATCCGCAGATTTTTATAACTGTTAAATTTTTGAAATCCTTTTTTAGACATACTTATTGTAAAAAATCAAATGTTTTACGGTTGCCAAGGCGTCATCAGGAATAAACTTTTTTGTTACCATCTACTAAAATGAAGATCAGCTTCTTTATTATTTTTGAGACTAACTTTTTTGAAAATGCATTGGTTTGGAAATAAAATAATTATATAATCAAAATACACAAAAATAGATTTTTTACTAAAATGAATTAGTCAAAAAAAAAAACGCACTTATTTGGAGTTTTTTTTACTTTAAATATTGTGATTCACATTTTGCTGATTTGTTTACTTTTCTGAAATAACTCAAGCAAATGTTAGAAAAAATTCTTTGAACATAAAAATATTTTATTTTTTTGTACAGCAAGCTTTGAATTTGATGCAGTATGATAAATCTTAATGTTTAGAACAAAATCGTGAAATTCAAAAAATGTATATTTTGACCAATTTTTTTTCGTTCATAAGAAAAATTTCTCCAAAATAATTTTTATTGTTTCTAGAAGTGTAAAATAAGCTCTTTCCAATGATGCAGTTAAAAAAACAAAAAATTATTGCCCACATTGAGTTTTAGGGGTTCAAACACGTTATTTTAGGGTATTTCACTTTTGTCGCTATTTTGCTTTCAAAATAACTCAGAAAAGACGTTTATAAAAAAGCTGATTTATAATCCATATCATTATAAAAGTATGTAGAATCTGTAAACAAAATAAAAAACTAAAAAATCTTTTGTTCTGGAGATATGACCCTACAAAAAACAGAAAAAATTTATGGTGTTGAATTTGTGACGGTATTTGGTGAACCATAGACTAAAATATAGGCATAATATGAAACTTGTATTAATTTTTTTGTAATCTCCACCTTCGGTTTACTAAGAAACCACGTTTTTAAGATATATTACCCGTTCATTACGAAAATATAAGACCCCAAAAATGCAGTTTATAGCTACAGACTGATATTGAAGTTTGGGTAAGCCTTGTTACAAAAAGTACAACAAACCCAAAATAATAAACATTTTAATCTAAAAATTTGGCAATTTTCATGAAACATGTTTAACAACATATTGACAAAATTTTATTAAAATCGGAGATGGTAGAGCGGGGACCTCTGGACCACTTGTCGTGGAATGACCCAGTTTTCAACATAAAGTACCTTGGGGCTTGGCTATAGATATGTCTATAAATTTGATTTTTTCATAAAAGCTCATATTGGTGTTTGTTTTCAATGAATGTAACTTGACATATCGAATCAGACATTATTTGGGAAAATTATCCGTGAAAAACCATTTTTTAACGAAAATTGAAGTTACTATTTTCAATACCACACCTAAATGAGTATGTTTAACAATAATGTCACTTTTGATTTAGATAACTTATGGTAGTGTTAATTTTTCTATCAAAATCGTTTTTGCATAAATAATCATAACTTTTAGCCCCATTCAAAAATCTGTATTCGGTTTTTAGTATCATTTTTTGAAATACTCGGGACTTATTCGGCAATCTTGAAATAATAATTTATTCCATTTAGAATGCGTAAACAATAAAAAAAACAGAGGTGGTAAACTTTTGAAATAAATTACTTTCAATTCGAATTCTTTGTTTGTATAAATTAAATACCAATAACTAAAATGTTTTTCGGTTTCTTACTAACAACCGAATCGAATTTGTTTTTAATTATCGGCTTTTTTTTTACAAGTTTGTTTGTTCTATGCGTTAGTTGCATTAAGTTGTCGGTTTTTTATTTTTTATTTTTTTTTTGGTGTCCGCGCAAAACAAAATCGAGGTCAGCGGTAATAACAAAAGAAATCGTTATAAAAAAGTAATTAAAACAAACGTCACAAAACAGACTTTAGTTGAACGTAAATAAAAAAAATCGTTAAGAAAAGTAACTAAAACAACAATAAACTACAGACTTTCAGCGATTTAGTTTAGCGTAAATAAATGCAATCGCTGTTGAATAATAAAAAAATATACATTAAAAAAAATTTTAAAAACGGACTAAAAAGTAAAAAACATTTTTTTTATACTATTTTTTGGCGCCCAACATTAAAAAAAAATTTTAAAAACGGACTAAAAAGTAAAAAACATTTTTTTTATACTATTTTTTGGCGCCCAACATTTTCAGTCATTTAATGATATTTCAAGTTGTTTACGTACACAAAATCCTTGGGTCCCGTGAAGTAGTTTATTTTTTACTTTTTAGTCCATTTTTAAAATGTTGTTTTAAAAACGTTTTATTTATATATATTTTATTCTTATTTTTTTTTTTTTTTTTTTTTTTGTTTGTTTGCTTTATTAATGATATTTGCTATTAATTTAGACAATCTTATTTTAAAGTTAATATTTGTGTAAACATATACAGAGGCGATTTTACGGAGGAATGGGGGTATGTGGGTGTGGGTGTAAGGGTGTTACACCAAAAAAAAAAAGTGATTTTTAAGTTGTAGTACGAATTTAGTCGGCTTGTCGGGTATTTGACTTTTTTTTTTTTTAACGAAGCCAGTTGGTACTTTTTATGGATTCACCCCCCTCTTCTCATTTTATTTGTAGAATCACCTCTGAGCATATATCTTATTTCTTACTCTTGGAAAATTTTTTGTGAAAATATAAATTGTAACACGGTGCTCTGTGATAAGACACAATTCTCCTTGTTTCGGTTATTAATTTTATTTGTAAATTTATGTGGGTAAAATTTTCAACGGCAAAATATAATTTTCAAAAAAAAAAAAAAGTTATTCTATATTTTCAGCTTTTCTCGGTATTTTTTTAAAAACAATGATTTGTGGTTGTTATTTTTACTTACCTGAAGTACAGAGCAGACGTAAATCGCATGATAAAGCATAGGTTGCGATGTTATTTATTCCAAGTTATTCATTCCAAGTACTTTAAAAGGCCCTTAATAATAGTCGCGGTTCTGAGAAAAAGTTTGTTATCTGCCACTTCACAAATTACGTATATACAAAAGCATTAGGGCAATTCCACGCTTAAGTGAGTTATTTCGATAAAATGAATAAATAAATTCAAACAAAAAACAAGTAAACATTGGGTTGCCATATGTTTAAAAATTTTAAATATTGATTAATAATGTTATTTTTGTTATTTTTTTTGTTTTAAATTTCAAATTAAAGTCATGCGTCATATTTTCAATATAAATAAGAGCTGTACTACATTTTGATAAAAGCGTAGAATTGTCCCCGTAAGTAATAACTAATTTGATTTAAGATATATAAATAAATAGCTAAAACAATCTTTTGAATAATTTTACGCAGAATAATAACTACTTAATTTAAGAAGCCAGTTTATGTAGGTTAAGAAATTTAGCTTGAAATATTCAACTGAAAACAACAGGATTAATGCAGTGTTTTTTTGTGTCCCGTGAGTAAGAGCATATAATTGACTATAATTCCTAAACTTATATGAATTGAACGAAATTTCAATATACAGGATAACAAATAAATGATTTTGGGATGATTCATATATACAAATAATATATAAACATTTAATCTGTTAAAGTAAAAAATATATATCTAAAAATGTGAAATAACGAAAATCAATATGTTCCCTAAGTAACGGTGGAATTGCCCATTAACGGTTTTTCATTTTTAAGCTCAGTGTCATTTTATTTCGCAGTTAATTTTTAGTTTGGTTGTTTATATTAAATATTTTTGTTCAATTAGTATTTAGTAAAATTTTTTTTTAATATGTTGTTTATTTGCTTTGTCTGTTTTAAACTTGTATTAAAACATATTACTTTTCTACCAGTCTTTATTTTTGTTTAGAAAACTCTCTAAATTTGCTTTAATTTAAAGCTATTTCTTTCTGATTCTAAAGTTTTTCATTCTCCTTTCAGACATGAACTGCTTATGTGTGACAGTTCGACAAATATATATATATATATATATATATATATATATATATATATATATATATATATATATATATATATATCTTTTTAATTTTATCTTTGGTAAAAACTTATTTTAAACTTGTTGTTATTTTTTACTTATACTAAATATAAAAAACTTTACAACTTTGTAACTGTAAACTTAAAATTTCAATTAACATTCAACTTCCTTCAACAATGTTGAATTCATTAAAAAAACATTTTTTTTGAGTTAACAACATCAAGAGAACATTGTAATCAAAGATCAAGTAAATATAAAAAGGAAATCTGTCGATATAAATAATACGCGTCTGATTTAAAAGCCAACGTAACGTTTTTTACATTAAGCTAAATTTTCAGTTTTCATAGAGTGTATCTTTTAAATATCAGGTAAATTATTGATTACAATTATTTAGGTCTCAATTTTCTTTGATACATTTTTTATATATTGATATTTTTTTCTTGAAAAACTGAAACAATACAATACAACTACAAAGGTATAATAAAGGTATAATAACGATTTAACGAGTAATTTCCTTATAAAATGTACCTAATTGTATCGCTATAATGTACAGCGATACAATTAGGAAAATTTTCGTTATTAAATAAACAAACAAAGTAATGTATAATTTAAAACTATAAATTATAGTGTGTATTATATTTATTTTAAAATAATGAAGGTTAAAAATATATTTGTATTTATTTATTTAATAAAATTTTTTTATAAGTTTGCGGTTTTTTATTTGTTTGTTTGTACAATTTGCTGTCAATTTTTAACTAAAACAAGTTTCAAAGTAACTTCTGTATGACTTCCTCATTTGTTTCAAGTATTTAATTGTTTGGCATCTCTTCTTCAGAATAAAAAACAGTGAACGCATGCGCATAGTTTATTTTTGCATGTGTTTCCAATAAAATAGTTACTCGATGCAACTTGGTTTAGTATACTCAACGAATTTCAACACATTGTTAAATGTTATTTTGCTTATCTAGATGTAGTAGTATTTATCGCAAATTTTGATTAGGTAATTTATTTTCAATTCCCACGTCACTTTTAGAATGAAATATAAGCAATTGAAGTTATGAGTGAAGGATAAACAAACTTTTGTGGCGCGCAACATAATAAAGCCACGCATACTTCATTAGAACCTTTAATGGGGTCTTAATTCTAACAATGACGTGCTTTTGGAAATTGTTTGTTTTCATGTTTGTGCTTCAAATAAACTGCGAGGAGAATGAGATATGTTTTTTAGTGATTGGTGACATTGGAGGTGTACCTTATTATCCATATCAAACAGCTTCACAAAAAAAAGTTGCATCTTTACTAGCCAAGGTAACTTTTATTACTTTTAAAATGTTTTAATTTTAAAGTATTTACTCGTATATAATTACTGTCGTAACGTTGTAATTCATCAGCGACATCTTAGTAACAACGCGATATTTTAGTAACAATGTGACAAAGATCGAATTTTAAGAAAATTTTGGAGGCTTTTGAAAATAAAATGCTTTTAAATGATTATTTAGGAATATTAAAAAAAAAAAAAAAATGAGAAATTATTATTTTTATATACCAAATGTCTAAAAGCATTTAAAATTGTCGAAGTTTTGAAAATAATAATTTAGATATAATAATTGAATTAGAAATTAATAATATATTTATAAAATAATAATAACTAGAAAATGATAAATTAAAATATGAAAAAGGAGACTTGCAAAACGAGCGCTTTAAATAATATTTATGGATTTAAATCTAAACTAAGTATGAGCGCCAAATAGATAGAATTGTTTAAAAAAAGTACATCTTTATCCACCATATTGTTTTTGATATAATTTCATTTTCAGTATTGCAATATAAACTTTTAAACTTTATTCTTTGAAATTAAAAACAAAAATTTATTTTAAAATGAAACTTCTGAAACTTCACATTCAGTTGCTTTTGAATACATTTGGGACAAGTCATAATAAATATATTCAAGTTTGTTTTATTCATTAATAAGTTTAATCAGGGCCATGAAAAGGATAAAAATGTGCTAGTGCAGTAACCTTTTTAAAAGTCTATCCCCCCACCCTCCCTTAAGACGGTTTATCACCAAAAAAAAAGTAAATAAAATAAAAGTCGAAAAGATTTTTTTAAAAGTTTCAGTTTTGATTTACACATTTTGTAATATTTAAGTTTTTAGTTATGTACCTAAACTAATGAGCCCTTGACAACGCACTAGTAACGATCAAGTTTTTCCTGTTATAATGAGAATATTAATAAACTTAAAACTCTTAAAGTTATTTTTTAATGTTTCTATCCAGAATGTAGCTCAAATGATGTCAGTTTGGTTAACTACCTTTCAACTAGAATGTAGCTCAAATGATGTCAGTTTGGTTAACTACCTTTCAACTAGAATGTAGCTCAAATGATGTAAGTTTGGTTAACTACTTTTCAACTTGAATGTCGCTCAAATGATGTTAGTTTGGTTAACTACTTTTCAACTAGAATGGAATACGTAGCTTTTTAACGATAGTTTATTTTTAAATTGGTTTTTATGACACCTAGATTTTCTTTTTTCTTGACTTCAAACATCATATTTCGGCCAAAAAGTCATCAGTTTACTTAAATTTTAGTAATATAATTGTATTCTCTAGAGGGTAAGCGAAGCAGTTTTTTTTTTATCTTGTAGTAGGGGAGACCGGGGCTAGTTGGCCGCAGGGGTAAGTTGACGAATTGCGTTTATCTTTAAAGCCTTTCATCAGAAAGTGATAAAAATTACACAGAATCTTCCTAATTGACTGTTTCATCATTCAATGTAGTATTGTCAGGATTCGCGCATGCGCATGGGAGATATTAAGATTTAAGTGTTTTTTGGACAAAAACGTAACTTTTGAAACATCGCTTCCTTTTTACTTTACAAAGAAAATAGTTAGTCAAATGGAAAAAAAATTATTGTAAAAGTTCTAGCCACAATTGGTTTACTATATTCAGTTAGACTTTTTTTAAAAGTTGCCGTTTTTCAGGATCTATAGACTGTTTATTGAAAAAAAAGCCTTCGGGGTAAGTTGACAAAATTTTTACGGGGTAAGTTGGCTCATAGCATTTACTATGGAGAAAAATATTTATTTTTATAAAAATAATTTTTTTAATTTTTTTAATTTTTAACAATATTGAAAAAACTTATTCTTACAAAAAAATTATAAAAATTTTTTTTTTAGGTTTTTTGTAACAGGTAAAAAGAGGGCTGCTGTTTTGGCTGTTATACGTACTAATATTTAGCACAAGCTAAAAATAATATCAAATTATTAGCTTAAATTGTTGCCAAAATTAATAGGTAAAAAATTTCTATTAATTTTGCACTTAATAGTACATTAATAATCACGTTTATAGTTTGCGTCAACTTACCCCGTGGTGGGGTAAGTTGGCGCAATTTTTTTTTTTTTTTTGAGGGCCCCGTAAGGCCCCAAGAATTTTTTTTTGTAAATCCATGAAACTTTTATAAGTTACCCAAGTTCATACGCTTTGAGACTACACTTTAATATTTTCAAAAAAGTGTGCTATTAGGGCTACAGAGCTCATAGAGTAAAAACCGAGCCAACTAGCCCCGGTCTCCCCTACATTTATATGACTGTATTACTAAAATACAAAATAAAAAGAACAACTTTTAACTAAATGTTCACAAAAATTAATCAAAAACTAGTTTTAGTATGTATAGAGAACATTTGTTAAATTTTTTAAAATCAACTAGGTTTTCTTAAGTTATTAAGGTTTAAGGTTTGCTTTGATTTTTCATCAAATGCGACGATGAGACGAAAATTGTATTTAGTATTTTTTATGATACAAATCAAATGAAAAAAGGTTAAATTCCCAGAAAAGAGTTAATGCAAAATTTATAAATGATATAGATGTTGTTAAATAGAACAACTTTGTTAAAACCTGGGCTGTGGAGTCGGAATCGGAGTCGGAGTTGCGGAGTTGCGACATTTTTAGCGGAGTCAGAGTCGGAGTCGCTAAACAAAATCGCGACTCCGACTCCAATAGTAAAACTTCTCGGTATTGTACGTGCATGTACAAAACATTCAATTTACCTTATGTTCATAAATAAATCTCAAAGAACGTTTCATAAACTTGTCAAAAAAAAAAATTTAACGTATCGCGTAATATTTTTTTAAGAATTCAAAGAATTTTTCAAAAATTTTGCTTTGGAGTTGTAGTCGGAGTCGGAGTTGGAGTCAGAGTCAGAGTTGTAGGGGAAAGGCGGCTATGATAGCATAGCGCCTACGATGGCATACCGGTCATATTTTCATAAATATTGGTTATGGCAAAAAAGTGATTAGACCAACATGTTTATACTGTATTTACATTAGTTTTAGTAAAAATACGTCACTTATGCACAAATATTGCTTTTATAATCAACAAAAATTGATTTTGGGATGTGCTGTTGTACTTTTAATCCCTTTAAATATTTAAGATTGTGATTTTATTATTAACTGCGCAGAAATGAAGTTTCATGCATTTGTTTCTAAATTTTGTGCAGTTAATGGAATACTTATTTTAATTTTATCTTCTGAATAAGGCAGACATAGCTTGTTTAAATGAAAACGATGACTTCTTCCTATGATGGCAGACTGACGAGTTAGGTGTGATGCAATATTGAAAAGTTGAGAAAACCTTTTTTTTCATAAAAACAACATATTTATTAGTGAAGTAAAAAGGAATTTTTACTTCAGTAAAAAATTTTTGGTTTAAAAAACACATAAAACGCAATATCTCTTATGCGTATGCGCAAAATCCTACACTGCTGCTGTGTAGCACGAAAGAGTCAGTAAGGATGATTACGCGTAATTTCTGGCATTTCTGAGGCAAGACTCTAAGGTCAAATGAAATCATCGAGTTACCCTTGATGCTAACCAGCCCCATCCTCCCCTATGCCATCATAGGAACAGTAGCTGCCTATGATGGCATACTTGTGCTTTTTTTTAAAATAAAAATAACTAATAAAAAAATAAAACTAATGAAAACTTCTGGGGTTATTATTGTTCTACATATAACAAAGAATGCATCAATGTCAAAACTTTTGTTCTTGGTCTTTAGGATACTGAATAATGAAGCTTCAAAGTTAAGTATGGCATCATAGGCGCCTTTCCCCTACTGAAAAAATTTCAACAACTGGAGTCGGAGTCGGAGTTGTACTCAAAAAATTTCAACAACTGGAGTTGGAGTTGTTACTTTTTTTTACAACTCCACACCCCTGGTTAAAACAAGGTTGTTTTGTGTGTTTTCTTCTTAATTAATTAAAGTAAAAATACAGTTTACTGTATCAAAGTCTATATATTTTGTAATCTTAAACTCATAACTTGACCTAGCAAGTTTTTTTGAGGCAATCCTGACTCATGGTGGACTTAAGATATACTTTCTAGTTTGCACTCTGTCAAAGCATTAAACATTTTCAGTACGCCCAAATGTTTTGTACCAAAATAGGCTTTATGAATTATTGTTATTATATTATAGTGAATTATAGTTGGGTGTTTCATTTCTTGCACAAGATCTAACGATATCTGTAATATATTTCTGGGCAAAATTAACTATTTTATGTATTAATTCCTGCTCTGATATTTTCGGTTGTTCTAAAAATGTCATAGCTGAAGGTTGCAAAAGTATGTTTTGCGGCGCTAAAATTGGCTGTAAGTCCTCTAATTACATTATCCAATACTACGTAAAAAATTTGTTTTTGGAATCAGGATTTCAACTGAGATTCGTCTTCTACACTCTTTTCATTTACATTTTTATCTAAGAAATAATTTCTAATATTGTTCTAAGCAACTTTATTTTTATATGGAGGTTACCCGGTGGGAAATCGGCTAGCAAATAGCTAGCTATAATTGTAACAATAAAGAAAGCGATTTGGCCACGAGGATCGCTAGCATTTTTATGTTAGCGAAAAGCTATTAATATTTGTAGAGATAAAGACAGCGATTTAGCTACGAGGACAGCTAATTTAATAAGCTAAAGACCCACTTGTAGGACCCACTTCATATCATATCACTGGCTATTGTAGCTAGCTTCATATCGTAATAAAACTCCAGTCTAAAAATTTTTTGTATGTAGCTGTCAACCAGCAATAGATTTGTAGATATTTTGTAGCTAGCTAAAAAGCTACAATATGTAGCTAGCGATACATTGCTACAACATCGCAATATTTAAAGTTCAATTATTCTCATAATTATAATAAACTCAACACTAAAAATCAAATTTTTAAAGATGTTAAAGACATAATTGTTAAACAAAAAATTTATTAAGAAAAAAAAATCTTAAAAAAAAATCACCTAACTTAAATTAACTTTAGCCGTTAATTTAAGTTAGGTGCTTGAAAAGACCTTTCAAGCACCTGGCGCTGAAGATGGTCTTATTTTAAAGAACAACATTAGGGCTCAAGTAAATACTGTAAGAGATTAGGGAATGATCACCTATGATGGAGCAAGTTTCTAATATGACATAACCCGTTTTGAGCAAAATCACTAATACTTTTTGTGTTATTTTAGGGATATATGCTATTACAAGTACAAGGATGTCAGCTATCTCTATTTGCTAAAAGTCTGTTTATTAATCTCTATATAATTCATACGCGGCCGTATATCTCTCCGTTAATCTAGATATAGTTTTCACAATTCAATAAATTATCATTGCGTAATCAACTATAAAATATAATTATTATTTAAAAACGTAACAATGGTTGCAAAAAAGAGGAGATGTTTTAAAAATCGTAAAATTATGCTGTTTTTATTTAAAGAAAACGCAATTATTTTTAAATTTTTAAATTTTTATGACAAATATTGTTGGAAAATACCTACTTTATTGTTATATACATATGCATTCCAAATGCTAACTATTATGTTTATTTCATTAGTCTAAAAAGTTAATATTACCGGTGCATACCTTTGATTTAAATATACTAGTACAGCAAACATGGGTATTCGGGGTGATTAACTCTACCATTTTGCATAATTAACGTCAATTGGCCTCTGTTTCTATATTTTGCAAGTTTGATCGTGGAATATCGAGACAATCCAGAATAATAATAATTGTTTAATAAACATAAAATTCGGCCAAAATAAAGATAGATTGATCATTTAATTTTCCAACCATTGCTTTATATTTCTTTCGGACCATTTCTTGTTATTTTATTTTGTATTGACTTAGTTGATCAAGTAATATTCCAGTATTATTATATGAAATATATGTATATATATATATATATATATATATATATATATATATATATATATATATATATATATATATATATATATATATATATATATATATATATATATATATATATATATATATATATATATATATGTGACAAGTTTTAATTTATAATTTTTTAACTTTCACGGAGGTGTCAGAAAAATTGAAATGCAAATTTGTTATGGGACTCGGCGATAATTTTTACTTCAATGGCGTAAAAAATGTAGACGATCCACGTTTCCACCAAACGTTTGAACTTACTTACGCAGCAAAGTCATTAGATTTTCCTTGGTATATGATTGCTGGCAATCACGACCACGCTCAGAATATCTCTGCACAAATAGCTTATACAAAGAAATCAAAAAAATGGTTCTACCCTGATTACTTTTACACTAAAGGTGATTACTTGGTTTTAATTATTTTTTATTTTCTAATTATACTTTTTGCTATATTTTAACTTTTTTGGGCTAGTCAACTTAGCAAGTTAATGCACTTTAAGTTAGTTGGTACATCCTGTGCAATCTTAGAAAATACTTACTTTTTATAACTAATAATTAATTCTTTAATCAATCCAAAAGAAATATGAACCCTATAATTTTAAAGTATTAAATTTTTTTGTTAATTTCTAGAACAAATTGTGAAGTATATTGAGCAATAAACAAAAATATATATATAATTTATAACTTTACAAATCTCGCTTCGTTTTTAATTAGTAGGGTATATTAGGTTAGTTAATTACTGACCTAATATATCCTATTATATTAGGTCTACCTAATACTAAAAAACCATGAATTTATTTGGAATATCATGTAATATTTTTATATGCTATTACATGAGTTTTTTTGGTAGGTATGCGCGTGCAATTATTTTTTCCTTATTTGTGCGCGCGTACAATTATTTTTTTCTTAGTTGTACGCGCGTATTTAAGTTATTATTAAATATTTCGATGATTTCAGTTGAAATTCTTGCTTAAATTAACCTAATAATTTTTTTAATTAAATTGAAATAATTTATAAACCCAATTTAAATAGATATTAAAATACTTTTCTTTTGTTTTAAGAATGCCCACACCTAAACCCTCAGTCGATTTATGTACACTCTACTACACCTATCCCTATTTAAGTCGTTCGATGCATGTACATACTACTGCGTCTATGCCTATTTAAGTCTGTCAATGTATGTGCACTCCACAGTCCCTATCCCTATTTAAGTCAGTATACTCCAATGCAATTAGATCTAAATTAGTCGATTTATGTATACATTGATGCACTTATTCTATAAAACTTTGAAAGATGAGAATAAATAATAAATATAACTATAAATAAACAACAGTAATAGCTAAAAAACATAAAAATACTTAAAAATAAAATACTAAATTTAAAAATAAAAAATCTCCCCAATAAGGGTTTGAACCCGCAACGCTGACAGTCGCGCTTCTAAAGAAGAAGATTTTAAACACCTATTGTACTACACCAATAAAATAATGATGCAAAAAATTAAAGTATATAAACATTTTTCGCATACAAATAAGATTTCTATTATGTAAACCTTATTTGTTAGCGCGTACAAATAATAGGCTGGGTGAATAAAAATGAACAATTCCTTTTACTCAGTAATTGAGCTTTACGTGAATAAAAACTTTTGCAATTTTGCTTAAGTTTTTATTCACGTAAAGTTGAACAATTTCTGAGTAAATTGCTTAACTTTACGTAAATAAAAATTTTAGCAAAATTGCTGGGGTTTTTATTCGCGTAAAGCTGACCAATTACTGAGTAAAAGCAATTGCTCATTTTTATTCACCCGGCCTAATGACCTCGATTTTTTTTCTTCCGTTAAATATCTTGTACTTCATCACTTAATCTGATTGGTCATAAATCAAAGCGTAAGTAGTAGACGACGTGACGTCTGGTTATTATGCGAGCAATTTAGGAAGTCAGACGAGGAAACTTAGAATATTGCGCTAACTTAAGTTAAGCCGGTTATACTCCATTCAAATTTATATGGAAATTTTCGCGCGGAAAAGTACATTGAGCGCAAGTTTTGATTATTTGATATTGGTCGTATATGCGCTTAATATTTTTTTTAAATGGAAATTTGTTCTAAAGCGGAAATGGAGATTCAACTTATCGTTTATAAGTTCATAAGTATCGGATCAAATATGTTCTTGCTTCATATTGTGTATATTTAGGGGGTATATATTTAATACTTATCCGGTTTTAAAAATATTTTGTTCGAGTCAATTTTTTAGTGTTTACAGTTGCTTTATAATTAAAAAAAATTTTTGATAAAAAATTAGTATATGCTTTTAATTCATTTACTAATCTTTAATCTATTTATTTATTTATAGTTATATACATTTTTAAAAAAATATTTTAGTACGCCCGTCAGTTAAAACTGTTTGACTCAAATATTTTTTAGCTTGAATAAATTTAGTTTTTTCGTCTGAACTTCACTCGAAAAATTCTTACAAAATATTGTCTATTTAAGAAACAAGAGAAAATGCAAAGTTTAAATATTTATAAAATGTAGTGTTTTTTTTAATGGATCACCGTCAAGTTTTTTACAATGGGTCATCAATATAATATAAACTTAACTTAGCAAATATCAGTTTTATAAGTTTTATACATTATTAAAGCTTCACAAAAAATATTTATGATCCACAAAAAATAAAACAATTTAAAAGATTGCAATATCAATCAATCAATCAATTCAATTAATTGTATATTCTGGAAAAAAGATCTAATTTCCACGGTCGTTTACAAATAGTTTTTAAAACTAATATAAAGTAAAAACCTCTTTGATGATATAAAACATATTATAGACACATATAGTTATAATAATAAAAATAGCAAAAAATTAACAATAGTACAATAATAAAAATAAGTTATTGTATAATAATAAGAATAACATTAATAATATTACCAGTAAGTATAATTAACACCCAATAATAATGATTAAAATAAAAACATGATAATAATAAATAAAATACATATATAACAGAATTATTAAATAAATATTTAATAGAAGGCTGTCCATTAATTACGTCAACTAAAATTATAAAAAATAATTAAAAGAATTAAAATAAATCAATACAATCTTCCATACAACAATCAACTAGTTACAGTTACAAACAGGAATAAACTGACAAATTGTAACAAATAACAATGACATAAAAACGACTTTCGATATAAAACTATGTAGCCTTTTATTCTTTGTACAAAGAATAAATATAATAATTTTAGTTTTTATAATATAATAACAAAAATTATATTGTAAGTATAATAAACAAATAAATAAAATATAAATTAAAAAGCACTTATTATACATAAAATTAAGGTTAAAAAAAGTAAAAAATGCATTAAATGCATACACAAAAATACACGACATATAAATATAACAATAAAAATACACATCAATATAAACAATGTATTCACTAAACAAAAGTTAAAAATTTTTTCTTGTTCTTTTCTTCCAATGATATTGTTTCTAGCAGACTAACGTATTTCATTTCGTATATTTTATTTTTTTTTATTTTACATTTTCAAACTATTTTTTCTTTTAACGAATCTTTTTTTCTATTTGCTGTGTTATTTTGATTTGTTTTTTATCTTTATTTGTTTATATCTTTTGATCTTATTTTTACTTCATTTTGTTTTATATTTTGATATTTCAAAATTCAATAATCAAAAATCAAAATAATCAAAATCAAAAAAAAGCAATAATCAAAAAGTCTTTGAGAATTCCCACTCAGAAATTTAAACTAAGATAAAACTAACTTTCAGCACGTTACGTGTGTATATAGATTTTTTAAAATTAAATTATTTAAGCAAATGTAACTAATGAAAATATTAAGAAAATACATACTAATACGTCTTTTCACGTTTATTTTCAAATAATTAAAAATTTTATTGGATAATAAAGTTAATTTTTCTAATTTTTTTTTAATGGCTAAAACTTTTTCAAGGAAAAATTATATATATATATATATATATATATATATATATATATATATATATATATATATATATATATATATATATATATATGTATATATATATATATATATATATATATTATATATATATATATATATATATATATATATTTATATATATATATATATATATATATATATATATATATATATTATATATATATATATATATATATATATATATATATATATATATATATATATATATATATATATATATATATATATATATATATATATATATATATATATATATATATATATATATATATATATATATATATATATATATATATATATATATATATATATATATACGTAAGGTGTCTTACTTATTCCCCAATTTTTATAGTCGATATATTGTCTTGAAAAGATTAAACAAAATTTTACAATCGACATTCAACGCAACCAATATTGTGACATTTCGAAGCCATATTAAAAGCATAAAAGTTTTTTGTTTGTTTGGTTTTTAATTTTTTGTGCTTAAAAGCAAATCCGTTTCGTTCAATCGATTAAGCTTAATTGTTTTTTTGTTAATGGCTTCGTTAATTAATAATGGATTCGCCAACACGTAACTCTTAAACTTAAGATGGGCTATTCTTCTGTTAACTCTCAAATATTTATCAATGTCCAGCTAAAATCATTAACAAAAGATGATAGTGCTAATCCAACACATATTTTCCATGCTTGGATACTAATAGCTATTTAATACTCTTAATCTAACAATAACAGATTCCATTTTTTTAGGGTTGGTCTTTTATATATATATATATATATATATATATATATATATATATATATATATATACATATATATATATATATATATATATATATATATATATATATATATATATATATATATATATATATATATATATATATATATATATATATATATATATATAAGTTCATAATAAGCAACAAGTTCATATTTTTTCTACTATTCTCAACCAAGTATATATAGATCAATAAACTCACACAATATATTTATACACAATATACACAATATATATACACAATATACACAATATACATCGATAAACTCACACAATATATACATCGATAAACTCACACAAAACTAATACTACTACTAATAATTTCTTAGCGTTCAACAGTTATGGCCTTTTAAAATTTACAGCCCCCTCTAACTGAGGGGGTTCAAACTTTTTATGGTCATAGTTTTTGAATGCTAAAAGATTATTGTGTGAATTTTAAAATTTATCGATGAATATAAATTTAGTTAAGAATAGTATAAAAATTGTTTCATCAACTTGATGCTTCACGTTTGGGGCAGGTGTAGCTAAAATTTTAGGGCTTTTTTGTTCCCAGGCTCCAATCGTTGCAATTTTTTGCAAAGCATCCTTATTTGATGTAAGTATTAATATAAAAATTTTCGGAGTTTGCTCCATGTCTGGAAGTCAGGCACCTCAAACATCAAAAAATACTGCATCCGCGCCTGATATATACAGTATTGGAGAAAACATTTGCAACCAACATCGAACAATGCTAAAAAGTGTTCTTAATTTTACATCTCTTAAAAACGAAACGAACTATACTACCACAGCAAACAGTTCAGGAGTCTGGAGTCTTAGCATGCCATGACATGAGCAATCAACTTACAGGTGACAGCACACAGGCAGAATTTCGTTGACAAGTGCCATTTTGAAGCGGACAAAACAAGTGCAACTTTTTTGGTTTGTTTCATTTTCTTATGTCTGGTCCGTGTCAACGTCACGGAAGTTTTTTAATAATTATTTGAAGTATCCAAAAGTTTCCAGAAGCTTTTAGAAACATGCAGAAGCTTCTAGAAGTTTCCAGAAGAAGCATCTGGAAGCATCCAGAAACATCCAGAAGTATCTAGAAACATTCAGAAGCATACAGACGCATCCAAAAGCTTCCAGAAACATTGAAAAGAATTATCTAGAATCTTCCAGTACAGGTTCACACAGGTTCATTTTACTATATAAGAGACATGTAATTCAGTCAGTATCTGGAAGTCAATCAGTCAGTATTATCAAGACAGTTTATCAAAGTGAGTTTTATCAAAGTGTTTTATCAGAAAACATTAATTCAAGAAGTGAAATACAACAAGTGTTTCATTACATCAATACAGTCCACATCCAACCAAGACATTGTGCTCCACAGAGCATTATTGTATCATCACAAGGTAAATGTAACACGGTAAACCTTGAGAAGCGTGATTATTTATTTTTATTATTTTTATGACTTCAAGTGCAAAAATGGCTTCCGACAGTCTTGGACTGGAACTAAGCAAGAAAATTATTGGCGATTACGTAAGTGGAATGTCACAAAAAAGTATTTGTGATAAATATTGCGTGAAAAAATGGACCGTATCAAGACTATGTTCCAAATATCGTTCTACGGGGAAGTTGGTAGTAGATAACAAAGGTGGAAGACCGCGTTCCACCACTTCTAGAGAGGATTCTATGATCGTCAGATCCGTCAAGAAGGATCCCTGGATACCATCAGTCGAGATACAAAAGCAATTAGAGCTGCCTGTATCGAACCGAATAATCAGACGACGTGCTGTTGAAGCCGGATTGTTTTTTCGACGCCCTGCAAAGAAACCGCTGATTTCACTAAAGAACCAGAAGAAAAGACTCCTGTTTGCTACATCTTATATTGACTGGAATGTGCAGAAATTGTGAACTATCCTGTTCAGTGATGAATCGAAGTTCAACATCATTGGGAGCGATGGCATTTGCCATGTACGTTGACCGGCCGGAAAACGGCTTGATTTACGTTACTGCCATAAGACCGTGAAGCATGGTGGAGGCAATGTTATGGTCTGGGGGTGTTTTTCTGCCAACGGTCTAGGTCCAATACATCGAACCGATGGAATAATGGATCGTTTCATGTTAAAAATATCCTGAAAGATGTTATGTTACCTCATGCTGAAGTGAATATGCCAATAAAATGGGTTTTTCAGCAAGACAACGATCCGAAACACACTGCAAAAGTAGTCAAGCAGTGGTTTTAAGACAACTACCTATCGGTGATGGGTTGGCCGCCTCAATCTCCGGATCTCAACTCTATCGAGAACCTGTGGAAGATTGTCAACCGCAGAATTAATAGTGAAGGTGTTTGTAATAAGGATCAACTGTTTGAACACAAATCCAAAAGGCCTGGGCAGCGGTTTTGCAAAGTTTCATTGATCACCTGATTGAACCTATGCCTCGAAGATGCAAGGCTATGATCGACAACAAAGGATTCGCCACGAAATATTGATAGCGAAATACAGCTTGGTCAACATTTTGGAAGGAAATCAACTTTTTTTAATACTTTTGGTTAATTTATTAATTTTCATGTAGAAATAATGAACTTTGTGATGAATAAGCCAATAATAGCAAAGTTTAGGTCACATGTTACAGGACAAAGCCTCAGGTTTTAAGGCCAGAAACTTAATATTTGTCTTTAATGCCAGCCAAGGCTAAGAGTTAAAAACACTGTAACTAGTATAAATATAGAAAAGCTTTTTTTTTTTTTTTTTTTTGAAATTAGTATAAGCCTTTTTTTTTTAAATGATTAACCTTTCAAGGAGATTTATAATTTATTTGACATTATAAAAAAATTATTAGTACTATAAAATCGAAAAAGCTTCTTTTTTAGTTATAAAAAAAACAATTAAGACGAAACTACTGCACTATTTGGTGTAGTTAATTTACTACACGGAATATATAATACGTTACTAAATGGAATATTATATAAACGAGACTCGGTTACGTAAACGTAGTTATACTTACTGTGAGTACTACATGCTTCAAAACTCTGAC